GGACGTCCTGACCTAGGTCGATCGGCCAATCGCCCAGTTTCCCGAAGACGTCTTACAAGACGTTCTATTAACACCAAAGTGCCTAGCAACCTGATTTTTCAGCTGTCCTTGCATCAGCATCTGAACGGCCTGACCCCTCTGAACTTCTGTGAGTCGTGCCATTCTTAAAACGAATCAAATTCTCAATTAATTTTAGGGAAGCAGTTGGTCTGTATAAAGACTAACGAAGAGTGACTTGACCAACGCTGCATGAGACCAGAACAACACGGTGCACGAGATTCTTGTTTTTTCCTTCCTCCATTTACCAGAGCTGCGCACTGTACCGTGACTAAATTTTCGATACATGACAATGTGTAATATGACCTAATTACTCAATCCACATAGTTTCACTTTATTTGGAGATTGAGTTTTCAAAATATCGGAATAAATATTACCCTCCGTTTCTTTATCCTTTCAGTATATTTGATCAATGTTTCAACTACAAGCAAATGAATTGAACTAATGGCGGGGATGCGCTTTTGTGAGAGATGTATTATAGTTTTGGTGGTGATTTGGTACGCACTGATTGCCAGATTGCATTTCATCTGGGACAATTTCATCTTGCAAAGTTCTTCCAAGACGGATTGGAGAAAATTTGTTTTTATTTTCAATGCCATAGATATTTTGTATTTTTGGCAATCTTTAACTGTGTCTTTTGGTAATTATTCATTCCTCATTTCATTGGTTTATATAGATAGAAGAGAACAAAGACTTCCATTGTTGTTCAGCTGGTTTGATAAAACTTCGAAAGTAAATGCGATAGTACAAAAGTGTCGTAATGCCTGCTAACACAGAAATAATTAGAAACAGGCTGACGATGTCGCTCGCTTGTCCCTGCTGGGTTTATCATTACGTGAACACACAGGTGGTGTCCTTGTAAGAGCTGTTGGCTACCTCAATGAACAACCAATTATTGTAGTAGAGTGACTTGACACAGGACACAACTAATAGAGAAACAGATCGACCCTTTTCTCTGCTTCCTGAGAAACTCAAACTGCATATTTTCAGACCACGTGTTTCCGGGTTTGGTTTTACACTACGTGTTGTTTTACATGTTTAGGTCATACGTATTTTTATGATTATCTAATGAGAGTATATGATATCATATTTTGTAAGAGCGATAGCTATAATGTTTTAGCTCTCTTTGTGTGTCGGTTGTAAATATGACTGAGCCCAGGACTGTTTAAGAAGTTTATTGGTGTGCGGACGTAGGGATGTACGTCCTAGAGATCGACTGTTTAATACAATTTCTTACCAGTTTTTATAGAGATGGAAAAAGAAGTTACATTATATAAGAAATTACCTGCACCACGCCAACATGTTAGATATACTGATATAAGATTGGAGTACTGAATAAGGTTACATATTTAGTATCCAGGTAACCAGGTAAATTTGACATTTAATGACCAAAAGCTAAATAGGTAATGACCTTAGGATCGTCAAGTAGGCACGAACCTACGTGTGTGACATGTGTATATCATTAGGACATATTGAACAGAATGATATTAATAAAGAATTTATTACTTGTTCCAAAATATTTAATTATAAAATACCAAATTACGCTTCATAGCTCATCAGATAAACTGTTGATCAGTCACACATGTGACAAAAATCACCTATCTTAGCTTGTATATCTCATTGTCGTATCACAGGTAATTTGAGTTAGGACTACACAAGCTTCTGTGGCATGGAATACGACACTGCATGATTTTCAAGTAACAGTGTGTCAACTTTACTGCATCTCCTAATTCATGGTGTATATTTTTACAGCAAACGTGATTCGCATTTTACCTGCAATAGAAAACTATGCAGTATCCCTGTGTAAATTACTGTTAACATGAGATATATGATAAGAAAGAAAGCAGTGTGTATTGTACAATTTCTAGTTTGTACCAAGGTCGTTAACGACATGGTTTGTAAATACTTCTTCAGATCGCAAAATATCTGTTAAAGATTTATACAAAGAAAAAGACCGGTGATTATCAACGTTCAATTAGCGACGAAAATGACGGTAGATTACGATGTTTAAATGCTAAGGTATGCATCATTTAAATAATAAAGTACACTGTATATATATTAATTGTGGAAATGATAGTACCGTATTTATTCCAATAAACGCCCCGGGGGCGTGAAATTTTTTTCAGACAGGGGGCGATTAATAGAACACAAAATTTCATAATTTGTTGGTCATGACATGCAATGGCTGCCACTTAAAAACATTGTTTAACAAACTAACGGATTACTCAGCAAAGAATGCATTTGAAAATTGCAGTAATTCCAACATCATTGTAGCTTTAAACATTGTTGTCAATTGCATTCTGATAACCTGAATTCTTTTGCTTCAGTCAAAAAAGTACAATGTTCATCATCGCTTGTAGGCCTAGTTTGCATAGCACAATAAAAAAACACAGCGGTATATAAGCCAGTCTGTTTCTTAATAAATCCCACATACCTGATAACAATGTCTGGGACAAAACGAAATTACGACACTGCTTAAAGTAATCGCCTTCGAAGGGGAGAAGGGTAAACATGCCGCCGCGAAAGTGTTTCGTGTTGACAGAAAACGAGTGCGGGACTGGTGTCAAAACAAAGAAAAATTTTAAAAAATCTTTCTAAAACATCTAAACACTGTAAAGGAGGTGGGAGGCATGTCAGATATGAAGATATTGACAAAAATCTAATGAGATGGCTACAGGACAGACGGGAGGCCGGAATACGAGTGACTGGGAAAGCATTGCGGTTTGAGGCCCTGCGTATGCATAAGGCAAATGGTAGTCAATCGTTCAAAGCCTCATATGGATGGTTTTCTAAATTCAAAAAGAGACATAACATTTCGTTCAGGCGATCTACGCATGTGGCACAACATGAAGTTTCATTAATTGATGATCGTATTGACAGTTTTTTTTATTTCGTTTTAAGAATGCGTCGGCTACGAGAATACCCCGATAGCCATATCGCTAACATCGACATTGGCAATAAAGGGGGAAAAGGAGGTCAGAGTTTACAGTACTGGCCACGGAAAACAAAAAATAACGGTGACACTGGCAGCATATGCCGATGGGACTAAAATCGCCCCCCTTGTGCACATGCCAGGCATTCGTCCCCTTCCGAAAGATGACATACCAAGTGGTATTGTGGTATACATTTATTAGGATTTATTAGGAATTCATATTACATATACATGTGCTGGGCCGGACAAAAATCCTGGGCAAACGAGGAAAGTATAAAATTTTGGTTAAAAAAAACACAAGGGTGTGAATAATACAGCTAGGCGGTTATTAATATGGGACGCTTTCCGTGGTCATCTTACTGAAGATGTAAAAAACCTGGTTCGTCAAAAATATAATTCAGACATCTGTGTTATACCCGGAGGATGTACATGTAAGCTACAGCCAGCCGATGTGTCGTGGAATAAACCCTTCAAACAAAAACTTGGAGAGTTGTATGACGAATGGTGTTTCAATGGCCCCATTGAGAAAACCAAAGCAGGGAATCGTAAAGCCCCATCTATAAAGCTGTAATGTTGTCTTGGATTAAATTGATGTTACTTGTGTACATGTCGTGACAGTGTAATTTTCTTGTGCCAAAATTCATTTGTTCATGTTCATGGATACCAGGAATTTACAATTTATTAAAAGGTAAGCTTTGTAACCCGACTCCTGAGTTGTTGATATTTACTGAGAAAACAGGTGGGGGGCGTTTATTAGAGACGGGGCGTTTATTGGAATAAATACGGTAAGTCACCTTTGAGCGAATCTTAGGAAAACGGTCTCGTGGAAGATTTTAAACAAGGGCATCTAGTTATAATATGTATGACAATAAAAAAAGTGCTTCATCATTAAAAGGTTACGGGTAATATTAATTTAACATCTGGTCATACAGAGCGCGAAAACACATACCTCAGAAACACGAAATGGTCGGCGAAGAAATTGTGACGTCATTATAAAGCAAGGTCAGCTGCAATTACAGTCTCATAATTACATTGACCGTCCAGTTGTAAAGAGACGGTGGTCTACAAAAGTAATATCATTATATCTTGTTAAAATACGTCTTAGTTGAAGGTGCAAAATATGACAAAATCAAGCAAACCATTTCAAAATGTTACCAAAATATGGCAAAATCAAGCAGACCATTTCAACATGTTACCAAAATATGACAAAATATCATTTTTATGATGGTTTTTTTCTAAGTATTAAAAAATACCGACTTTTCAACATATTCGATAAGAAATGTAATGTTATGTGATTTCTTTCTTGAACATAAGTTATATTTGTAATCTTATGTTTATTCTGCATGTACTTTTCCAGGAGTCATCGTGTAAATTTTCTTTTGATAATATTTTGAGTTTGGATTATGATCATGTGGATATTTTCTCGATTTTTATTTTAAACCATCAAATCTACTAAAGAGTACAATGTAAATGTAATATGAAACTACCAAAGCATTAGACCTCAATTCATCTATTATGTTTTATGGTGTTACGCATGGTTAGAGAAGAAACGGGTCACTAAGACTTGTACTTTTGTAGTCCAGGAATTCATCAAACCTGCCACTCTCCATGTGTGTGTGTAATACAAACCCTTAACGTTATGGGGATGGTGTGACCCTACTGAACTCACAATCACGTGACGGGTAGATCGCTACATACTAGGTCATTACATTATTCTACATGATTCTGACACAGAAATATGATGCTTGTGGTGTTTACTGATACAAAATGATACAGAAAGATCACCGAATGATGATTGTAATTTTAATTATGCGCGCGCATATCCAATAAGACACTTGAGTTCTATTGGTGGATACGGGCAACACCCATTTACATGTATAAATAAACGGGCGTTGATGTACTCTATCTTATATCTTCGCCTTTCATTTGTTCTACTGCTTTGGATATAAATCCTTTAACTGACTTGGTAGTGTTAAGTTGAACACATACTAAACCTATATATTAATCAAATATGCCGGAGCCAAGATTAAACCAGAGGTTCGCTATCGTTGGAACTTTCGTGCATTCGTCTAATGAACAGTCACTACTTACGTTACAGGATCATTGCCTTGGAGTGGCGAATGGAAAGGTAAGTTACTGAACAAATACCAGGTAAATCCTCTGTCCTACCCGAACACCTAGTCTTAGCAACCTTTTCCTTTTAGTTTGAATTACGTTTTTGTTATTACATAGGTATTTTCTAACTTTTTTTCAGGATTAGGTGATAGTTTGTTAACATGATTCAATGTGAAAAACAAACTTATACTTTGTTTAAGTCTAACCATACTAAACAGACAAAATATACCCCCGTGTCAACACTTTCAGATCATCAAACGGACAAAATATACCACCATGTCAACACTTTCAGACGATAAAACGGACAAAATATACCACCGTGTCAACACTTTCAGATCATAAAACGGACAAAATATATCACCGTGTCAACACTTTCAGATCATAAAGCGGACAAAATATACCCCCGTGTCAACACTTTCAGATCATCAAACGGACAAAATATACCGCCGTGTCAACACTTTCAGATCATCAAACGGACAAAATATACCACCGTGTCAACACTTTCAGATGATCAAACGGACAAAATATATCACCGTGTCAACACTTTCAGATGATAAAACGGACAAAATATACCACCGTCTCAACACTTTCAGATCATAAAACGGACAAAATATACCACCGTGTCAACACTTTCAGATCATAAAACGGACAAAATATATCACCGTGTCAACACTTTCAGATCATAAAGCGGACAAAATATACCACCGTGTCAACACTAAAATCATCAATCGGACAAAATATACCACCGTGTCAACACTAAGATCATCAAACGGACAAAATATACCCCCGTGTCAACACTAAGACCATCAAACGGACAAAATATACAACCGTGTCAACACTTTCAGACGATAAAACGGACAAAATATACCACCGTGTCAACACTTTCAGATCATAAAACAGACAAAATATACCCCCGTGTCAACATTTTCAGACGATAAAACGGACAAAATATACCACCATGTCAACATTTTCAGACGATAAAACGGACAAAATATACCACCATGTCAACACTTTCAGATGATAAAACGGACAAAATATACCACCGTGTCAACACTTTCAGATGATAAAACGGACAAAATATCCCACCATGTCAAACTTTCAAATAATAAATCGGACAAAATATACCACCGTGTCAACACTTTCAGATGATCAAACGGACAAAATATATCACCGTGTCAACACTTTCAGATGATAAAACGGACAAAATATACCACCGTCTCAACACTTTCAGATCATAAAACGGACAAAATATACCACTGTGTCAACACTTTCAGATTATCAAACGGACAACATATACCACCGTGTCAACACTATCAGATCATAAAACGGACAAAATATACCGCCATGTCAACACTTTCAGATCATAAAACAGAAAAAATATACCACCGTGTCAATACTTTCAGATCATCAAACAGACAAAATATACCACCGTGTCAACACTTTCAGATGATAAAACGGACAAAATATACCACCGTGTCAACCCTTTCAGATTATCCAAAAAATATACCACCGTGTCAACACTTTCAGATGATAAAACAGACAAAATATACCACAGTCTCAACACTTTCAGACGATAAAACGGACAAAATATACCACAGTGTCAACACTTTCAGACGATAAAACGGACAAAATATACCACAGTGTCAACACTTTCAGATCATAAAACGGACAAAATATATCGCCGTGTCAATACTTTCAGATCATCAAACGGACAAAATATACCACCGTGTCAACACTTTCAGATCATCAAACGGACAAAATATACCACCATGTCAACACTTTCAGATGATCAAACGGACAAAATATACCACCGTGTCAACTCTTTCAGATTATCAAACGGAAAAAATATACCACCGTGTCAACACTTTCAGATCATCAAACGGACAAAATAGACCCCCGTGTCAACACTTTCAGATCATCAAACGGACAAAATATACCACCGTGTAAACACATTCAGATCATAAAACGGACAAAATATACCACCGTGTCAACACTTTCAGACGATCAAACGAACAAAATATACCACCGTGTCAACACTTTCAGATCATAAAGCGGACAAAATATACCACCGTGTCAACACTAAGATCATAAAACGGACAAAATATACCCGCGTGTCAACACTTTCAGATCATGAAGCGGACAAAATATACCACCGTGTCAACAATAAGATCATCAAACAGACAAAATATACCCTCGTGTCAACACTTTCAGATCATCAAACGGAAAAATATACCACCGTGTCAACACTTTCAGACCAGAAAACGGACAAAATATACCACCTTGTCAACACTTTCAGATCATAAAAAAGACAAAATATACCCCGTGTCAACACATTCAGACGATAAAACGGGCAAAATATACCACCGTGTCAACACTTTCAGATCATAAAACAGACAAAATATACCCCCGTGTCAACACTTTCAGATGATAAAACGGACAAAATATACCACCGTGTCAACACTTTCAGATCATAAAACGGACAAAATATACCGTCGTGTTAACACTTTCAGATCATCAAACGGACAAAATATACCACCGTGTCAACACTTTCAGATCATCAAACGGACAAAATATACCACCGTGTCAACACTAAAATCATCAATCGGACAAAATATACCACCATGTCAACACTTTCAGACGATAAAACGGACAAAATATACCAACGTGTCAACACTTTCAGATCATCAAACGGACAAAATATACCAAAATGTCAACACTTTCAGACGATAAAACGGACAAAATATACCACCATGTCAACACTTTCAGATGATAAAACGGACAAAATATACCGCCGTGTCAACACTTTCAGATCATCAAACGGACAAAATATACCACTATGTCAACACTTTCAGACGATAAAACGGACAAAATATACCACCGTGTCAACACTTTCAGATCATAAAACGGACAAAATATACCACCGTGTCAACACTTTCAGATCATAAAACAGACAAAATATACCCCCGTGTCAACACTTTCAGACGATAAAACGGACAAAATATACCACCATGTCAACACTTTCAGACGATAAAACGGACAAAATATACCACCATATCAACACTTTCAGATGATAAAACTGACAAAATATACCACCGTGTCAACACTTTCAGATCATCAAACGGACAAAATATACCACCGTGTCAACACTAAAATCATCAATCGGACAAAATATACCACCGTGTCAACACTAAGATCATCAAACGGACAAAATATACCCCCGTGTCAACACTAAGATCATCAAACGGACAAAATATACCCCCGTGTCAACACTTACAGATCATAAAGCGGACAAAATATACCACCGTGTCAACACTAAGATCATCAAACGGACAAAATATACCCTCGTGTCAACACTTTCAGATCATCAAACGGAAAAAAATATACCACCGTGTCAACACTTTCAGATCATCAAACGGACAAAATATACCACCGTGTCAACACTAAGATCATCAAACGGACAAAATATACCCCCGTGTCAACACTTACAGATCATAAAGCGGACAAAGTATACCACCGTGTCAACACTAAGATCATCAAACGGACAAAATATACCCTCGTGTCAACACTTTCAGATCATCAAACGGAAAAAATATACCACCGTGTCAACACTTTCAGATCATAAAACGGACAAAATATACCAACGTGTCAACACTTTCAGATCATAAAACGGACAAAATATACCACCGTGTCAACACTTTCAGATCATAAAACGGACAAAATATACCACCGTGTCAACACTTTCAGACGATAAAACGGACAAAATATACCACCGTGTCAACACTTTCAGATCATAAAACGGACAAAATATACCACCGTGTCAACACTTTAAGATCATCAAACGGACAAAATATACCACCGTGTTAACACTTTCAGATCATCAAACGGACAAAATATACTACCGTGTCAACAATTTCAGATTATCAAACGGACAAAATATACCACCGTGTCAACACTTTCAGATCATAAAACGGACAAAATATACCACCGTGTCAACACTTTCAGATCATAAAACGGACAAAATATACCACCGTGTCAACACTTTAAGATCATCAAACGGACAAAATATACCACCGTGTCAACATTTTAAGATCATAAAACAGACAAAATATACCACCCTGTCAACACTTTCAGATGATAAAACGGACAAAATATACCACCGTGTCAACACTTTCAGATCATAAAACGGACAAAATATACCACCGTGTCAACACTTTCAGATCATAAAACGGACAAAATATACCACCGTGTCAACACTTTCAGATCATAAAACGGACAAAATATACCAACGTTTCAACACTTTCAGATCATAAAACGGACAAAATATACCACCGTGAGAACACTTTCAGATCATAAAACGGACAAAATATACCACCGTGTCAACACTTTCAGATCATAAAACGGACAAAATATACCACCGTGTCAACACTTTCAGATCATCAAACGGACAAAATATACCACCGTGTCAACACTTTCAGATCATAAAACGGACAAAATATACCCCCGTGTCAACACTTAGATCATCCAACGGACAAAATATACCACCGTGTCAACACTTTCAGATCATCAAACGGACAAAATATACCACCGTGTCAACACTTTCAGATCATAAAACGGACAAAATACAAATATACCACCGTGTCAACACTTTCAGATTCATCAAACGGACAAAATATACCACCGTGTCAACACTTTCAGATCAGAAATAATATATCCACCGTGTCAACACTTTCAGATCATCAAACGGACAAAATATACCACCGTGTCAACACTTTCAGATCATAAAACGGACAAAATATACCACCGTGTCAACACTTTCAGATCATCAAACGGACAAAATATACCACCGTGTCAACACTTTCAGGATCATACAAACGGACAAAATATACCACCGTGTCAACACTTTAGATCATAAACGGACAAAATATACCACCGTGTCAACACTTTCAGATATACAAACTACATATATCGTGTCAACCTCAAGATCATAAAACGGACAAAATATACCCGTGTCAA